GATGATAGATTTCCCAAACAAGGAGGGAGCGCGCCCTTTAGATTGTTTTCTGAGAGAGATATGTATTCAAGATTCTTCAGTTCACACCAGCCTGTAGAATATATTCGTAAGTTCATGTTAAGGGAATAGGAATGTATCAATTATGTAATTGCTAAGTGAGGTTTTAAAGTTTTAGTTGATTTTTGTTTCATTCGCTAGGTCGGTTTTAGATTATATTTAAACAACTTTGTTTGTTTTATATATATATTAGAGATTGGTTATTTAGATTATTGATATCGATAATTTTTTTAATTCAAAGTTTTCTAGGAACGAGAAATTTTAGAGATTGAGAAACCCTAGATTTTATCCTTTGCTAAATGTAGCGTAAAGTTAGGAGTAAGCCTTCAATTCACACCAACCTATATAATTTATCTGGAAATAGTCAAAATATATGGTGTTGAAAGAATCTTGAGCCGATGGAGAGTTGTAATTTACCTTGAACGGGCAGGGTGTCATTGAGGTCACAGTGACCAGCAGACAATACTTTAAGAGCAGGCAATGCTCCGATGTTCTGGAGAAAGTTTAATGGGAGAGAACTACCATCTAGGTGCAATTCTTCAAGGGTGCTCGAATTGAAGAAAATCCCTGTGATAGAGAAGGAAGAAAATGTATGATGAAAATAGTGGTGGAACAGAGTAGAGTGGAAGGGTCTTGAGGGATATATATACTTCCCCGCATGCATCATTACACGATTTATTCTATTGGTAACTAACTCTAACCAACTTCTAACACGTGTCCAAGCATCTGCCAGCCACCCTTAATTTAAGACTGAGAAATTTAGAGATTGAGAAACGCTAGATTTTATCCTTTACTATACGTAACATTGGGAGTAAACTTCTAGTTTAATAAAACATAGATAGAACACAAATATCTACTAACAGCTGTCATTTGGATTTCAATACTCTTATAATTGTTCTTTTGTAGAATTACCTCGAGCAGGTAGGGTGCTATGGAAGTCAACTCCGGTCAATGATAGGACTTTAAGAGTAGACAACGGTCCAATGTTCCTAAGAAAGCTTGCTGGGAGAGAAGAATAATCGAGGAACACTTTGTCAAGGCGTGGCAACGCTCCCAATGACTCTATCAAAATGCTTTCCTTGAAGTCATTTGAAGACAGATACAAGATTTCTAAATTCCTTAAACCTGTGATTGAGAGAATTAACAATCAATAATAATGATTTACAATAATTAAATAATTTATAATGTTACAAGATTTATTGAACTGAAGTTATTCGATCCCTTCAACCTCATCTTTATCAACTTATATATTTTTATTAATACTTAATATATCATTTAACTCGTCAAATATTAACATAAACATAAGTATTCTATGTGACATTAAAATTTGAATCTTTTTCTAACTCAGCAAATAAAGCAATTCAATATGGATCAACTAACTCATTTAGTTGAAATACATGTTCTTCCCGGTTACTTCATTGTTGCTATATTTAACAACTTAGACATGACTTTTAGATCTGATTTTCACAACGAATAACCAATCAACTTTATTATGATAATTTTTAAAGAAATGAGTGTATAAGTAATATACTTGTTGGCATTGTTTGGCAAATATGAAAATACCATTGATGTTTTTAAGTCTATCTCTTTTACTGATTTCAACCAAACCATAATGATGATCTACCCTAATTCCTCTCACCATTGTAGGCCAGTAGTATCCCATTCTTTTGATTTGAAAGTGAAGTTTAGGACCCGATTGATGTGCTTCATAGATCCCTGAATGTGTTTCTTCTAGAATGGTTACATTTAATAAATCATTATGAAATTAGTTGAATATTCTTCCTTAGATTTATTAATTTTTGACACAACAAATCATTAAACCTTACTTGCTTCATAAATTAGAGATTAAACAATTATGAATTCAATATATAACCGAATAGTAGATTGCAATGAATAATAAACTATTAGGCCTTCTAGTAATTAAATGGGACAATCATGAAAATAGGCACCGAAAAACATTTAACACTCAATGCATAAATTGAACAATAAAAACAAATTAGATCTCATAGTCCTATTTATTTTGAGGTTTCCATTTTCTTTTACTAAATAAAAATTTAGCTACATAGGACCATTGTCACTACCCATTTTTGGTTCCCCACATAAAAAAGAAGAAAATTAAAAAATATTTAGAAGAAAATTAAAAAAAAAGTAGCAATGGAAAAAGGATGTCAGAGCGCCCAAAAATTAATTGCAGAGGTTTAAAAATATAAGGATTAAAATTTGACAGTATATTTTTGACTCATGAGAGCCTTATTGACAAAAAAAAATTCAAATTAAGAAAGAAAAGTTCAAAATCAAATTATGTTTATGGACTCAATTAAATTTTATTAAATGTTTAATTAAATTCATAGAGAGTTTGATTGCAACAAAAAATAATTTTTAAGTCAATTTAGGCTTTAATTGGAAGAAACTAAATTTTAGGGATCAAATTATCATTTTTAAGAGTTGATTTGATCAAATTAGGGTCTTAATTGCATAAATATTGAAGTTTGATGGTCAATTAGGGACTTGATTGAAGAAATTCAAAACCAAGGACCAAACAAGAAAAAACACATAAATAGAGGAGCTATAATTAAATGAATCAGGGGTTAAATTGAAGAAATTAAAAGTTTGTTAATCAATTGAGTGTCAAAATGCACAAATTCAAAATCAAAGACTAAAGTGAAAAAGGTGGCCAACATCAATATCAATGTTGGAATTTGGTAGGGATGCAAATGAATTGATTTTTAAAATCAAAATTACAATTGAGGACTTGATTGAAGAAATTACAAGTTAAGAACTAATTTGGAATTTAAAACATTTTGGAACAATTTTCTATTAAATGAAACGATGCTATTTTATTTTCTTTATTTTTTTAAAAAAAGAGAGGATAAAAGCACAAAACGATGCTGTTTTGAATGACACTATGCTTCTTCTTCCCTAAAAGCATAGCAGGAAAAGAAAAGGGTTTTTTCCCATGCTTTTTTCCTCTCTCTCTCTCTCCACTTGCCCAAACCCTGGCATAACTCATACACCCACATGCCCTACCACCATAATGAAGAAAAGAGAGGGAAGTCGTGCCTTACGAGCGACTTGTGGTCTGCTGCACAGAGGCCGCCCCATGCCACACCTTGAACCATGACTGGACATGGCAAGGTGGCTTCCTATCCTCTGCTTATAAATACCACATGAAAAGAGAGAAACAATAGGGGGTTTTGAAAAAGAAAGATTTTGAAAAAAAAAATAAAGAGAAAGGGGGAATGAAAAACAGAGGGATATTGTTTGAGAATCAGGGGAGTTGAAAAAAAATGAGAGAACAAAAGGATAGAGAGGAAAGAACAGGAAAAAGATGGAAGAGAAGAACATGAGAGAGAGAAAAAAAATAGAAAGAAAGGAAAAGGAAAAGCAAAGGGATTTGAAGAGTAAAAACAGAGCAGAAGAAAAAAGTAGACAAAGAACAGGGGATGAGAGAACTGAAAAAACACAGAACAGGGGAGAGGGAAGGAAAAGAATGAAATAGAAAATAGAGAGTTATGCCAAGATTAAAAGTTGTGTCAAAACTATCTAGAATTATCTAATTATCTTGTTTTGCCCTTAATGCCTCCATTTACATCCTAAATCAAAATATAAAAATAACGATTGAATGTAGGCACCAAATAAATATAAAAAAACTAAACATTATGGAATAAAAATATGATATTTGGCATTCTCATCACATATTATAAATTATTAGGATGTAACATGCTACATGAAGTATTCTTCGAATATATATGTTATGAATTGTTTGCATTAAACATGTTAGGAATTATTAAGATATTGTTGCATAAATATTATTAACTATTATCACACTACATAACACTATTTCAGTTGTGCTTGTAGGTGTACATTAATAAGGCATTTGTTTATGATTGAACTATCTTACCTACTTACATGCTAATTCATCTTCATAATGTTTTGTCACAAATCAGCTAAAGAGGGAGATTGTAAGTGTCAAAATGTTTGGTTTTGATTAATGAAAGATTATTTGTGTTGTTGAAGATCATTTTGTTTAGGTTTCTACTTTATTCAAATTAGATAATGAATTAGTTAAGTTTATCTCATAGGATATAACATGATTATTTATGTAATTATCTATGGATAAATTATATAGGAAGTTTAGATAAGTTTTATAAAAAAAAAAGATGGATACAAGTTATTCCAATACTACAATCAGAAAAGAGTTTCTGTGAAACATGTTAGCAGCTTATTAAGAATGTAACAAATTAGAAAGTTGAAAGATAATATTTATCAAAAGTTCTTATCCTTTTCACATGAATGTGTATATAAGAAAGGGCAATCAGAAGCATTTGAGGGTTGCATTGGAAACGAAGAAAGAGTGCTTAATTAGCTAAAGAGTTACACAAAGTTGCATAGCATATACTCTTGGCACACAAGTAGAGTGTAAAGAAAATTCTCAAGAAGAATTGTTCTTAAAAGAGTTGGAAAGCCTGCATACTTCTAGGGAGAGTTCCTATATTAACTATTAGCAACTAGATATTCTAGTTAAAATGAGAACAATTTAAAGATCATTAGTTGTTATGGCAGGCTATTGCAATAAAATACAAAGCAGAGTGTTTCTCTAAACAAGGTAATATAGATGCAAAGGATTGGTAGTGAAAAATACTCCTCTCGTAATCTTATATACTAGTAAAATTTGTATTTCTTGGATTTAGTTGTCCAAATGAGTTCTTTTTTTTTTATCATTTGAAAAGTTCTTCAAAATATTTTCTCTTCCTAACCAAATAATTTGTTTATTTAAATTTTCTAAACTTATATTTATTTGATTATTGATCAATATTTGTAAAGTATTAGTAGATTGCTTGTTAACGTACATAGAACAGAAGCAGGAGTATTACTTATTAAAAATAATAAATTTAGAATGTTGTGTTTTCACATTTTCCATATTATATAATATATATTATACAAAGTTTGCAAGTAGGTCATCAATGTTGAATTATGATTAAATTATTAGCATGTATTATTAATATTAATATCCGCGTTTATCAGATGGATACCTTTATTAATTGATTTGTAGTTCCCTTTTCCCTTGTGTAGCTATTTGATTTGGTATGTGCATCCGCGCCAATACTGTTTAATTGCAATTCTCTTCATCATGTGATATAATTAAATGACTAAAGTCAAGCCCATACGTCCGCAACAGTACTTACCCACCAATGTAAGATTATCACTTCCAAAAAGAAAACTCTTGTGTGTGCGTGTTCTACATATACAGACACACACACACACACACACAGGAGTTTATATATAAAATGAGTAAAATAAAAATTAGTTGAAAAGTCTTTATTCAATTTCACAATAAACAACGATAAATATCCACACATAAAGTTTCAACACCAAGAACCATTACACTTTAAATATTCATGTGAAAATCATGAAAAACTTGGTACGAACCATGCATCCACACATGGTATGCACCAAACACTTTAACTATTTAAGTTAATAGAAGCACAGAGAAAAATATAAACAGGTAAAAAAGATGAAAATTGCAGAATATATTTTTGAGTTGTGAATATGTTTTTGTAAAAATATCACTAGGGTTGATCTTTAGAGCCTTCTCCCCGACCCCTCCTTAAATTTCCCCGTCCTTTAAAATGCCCCCATCCCTATCAAATAATTCCAGCCCCTTTGTTCCCCCAAAAAAAACCCCGCAAATTCCCTGCACGCAGGCCACAGCCCTGTGTGTGGGGTAAAGTCACGGGATTATTATTGAAGCAATTTGCTCCACTAACCAAATAAACTAAGTACTCCTGTCAAGTGGAGCACTAAAGAAATATCTTCTTCTTCTTATTATAATAATAATAAAAAAAACAAAAAACAAAAAACAAAAAAAAATAAAAATAATGGTGCCCACGCTTCATCATGTCACTTTTTTTGGAATAATCCTTGTATTATATCATTGCTCACAAACAGGATACTCATAAAAAACAAAAAACAGAAAACAATGGGACGTGATAAACAGGATAGCTCACGAAATTTCAGATCTAAATCATGGAATAAAATCATCTCTGTCTTGCGTGATCGATCGTGTAATTTTTGTTCTTTTTTAAAAAAAGTCGTAACCGCACGCTTAAAAAACTGCAAAATCA